GTTTCCAGTCTGTCGTTGTACCGTGCAGTGACACATTGGCCCCAAAGTCATCAATCTGCCCATCTCTAAAGTGCAGGGCTGCCCTGAGATATGCCCACCTGAAATATGCAGCACGTAAACGCCGCCTCGCTTGAAGTCTGCTCATGCTGCGCCGCTGGGAATATTCAAAGCAGCGCTTATGAAATATTTATCAGAACATGAAAATTCCCCTGTATTTTAATTACCTGTTTTATACTCGAGGTACAATAAAGATTAAGTGAGCTCACTGCTGAAAGGTGACTCAGTGTTCATTTACAGAGATTATGGTGAATAATTAAAATCTTTTTGGTTGCGCTGCGGATTGGTAGAGGAGCCAGTGAAAGGATTTATTCAGAGTCAAGCCACATGCATTAATTTTGAATGCAGCCCAGAGCACCTGCACAGAGTGTTGGCATGTTTTATTGAGGAAGCGCAGTGTTTTCCAGGATCACACTCACAGATCGTCTGTATGGTGTGTGTCATCACACATAAAGCCCCTTAGCTAAACATAAACTCCTGTAATGAGGAACAAATCTCAAACATACTCCTACACAGGTACACAGTATATGAATGCATGCGCTTTTGGAAACACAAACTCGCATGAGTTTATAGCACAGTGAACAAAGTTTGCTTTTAATACTTAAATTCTAAACCAGTTGACAAATTAAAATTGACAATTTTGTTTTACAGAAGTTTATAATTGATTATTAGTAAGATAGATAGATAGATAAATAGATAGATAGATAGATGAATGGATGGATGGATGGATGGATGGATGGGATGGATGGATAGATCGATGGATAGAGAGAGAGAGAGAGAGAGAGAGGGATGGATGGATGGATGGATGGATGGATAAATGGATGGATAGATAGATAGATAGATAGATAGATAGATAGATAGATAGATAGATAGATAGATAGATAGATAGATAGATAGATAGATAGATAGATAGATAGATAGATAGATAGATAGATAGATAGATAGATAGATAGATAGATATTAAGAAAGAAAGAAAGAAAGAAAGAAAGAAAGAAAGAAAGAAAGAAAGAAAGAAAGAAAGAAAGAAATAGACATTGCTTAAATGTACGCTTTTTTAGATAGATCGATACAGTTGAGATTTATTGTCTAGCCAGTGTCTAAGGACAGCGTTATTTTGAAGTCCAATAATGGCATCAAATGATGTTGATATTTGGTTGATTTTAGGTTGTGTTGGAAAGTGACCAAAATCTAACATCATGCCAAAAGCTTAAATCAACATCATTGTGACATTTAATAGTGACATTTATTATTCAGGTTTTGTAACCAAAATTCCATGTCTGATAGTGGTAACGTCACACTGTTCCAAATATGTAAGATTTGTTTTTGTTGAAAATCTGTTAACAGCAGCCATTTCACAATTATTATTAAAAAGTACTGTTTATTTTGTGTTCAACCATAAAAAGAATCTCATACAGGTTTGGTAGAAGTGTAGAGTATGTAAACCATCAGCTTTTTCATTAAGAACACACACATTCACATTTCTTTGATTATCAGCTGATTCAGATGTCATCACTTAATTGAATTGGCGTTATCAGTGGTTATCAGTTGATAGATATAGGCCAGTAGTGGCCTTCTGCACCTACTGGTAGGCTCAGAAGGCTGTTATCATCCATCCATTTGGTTAATCAGCTGTAGATCACATACGACTGCAGCCGGGAGAATTATTTATTTTATTTATTAAATTTCCCATTAATAGTAATTTATTAACATCTAACCCAACCCTAAACCCAACCATCACAGTAATGCGAAACAGATCTGGATCTGGAGTCTTCTCTACTAGTATAACTAATTAACCATGTGGATGGATGATAATAGCCTTCTGAGTCTACTATTAGGCGCAGAAGACCCCTACTGGTCCATATCTATAAGTTAATAACCACTGATAACACCCATTCAATCAAGTGATAGCATTCAAAGCGACTGTGAATACATATTCAACCTTATTTGAAAAATTCCCTATGGCATCTCTGCTATCTCATAAACATTTAGATGAATGTACTATTTCTAATTGAGGTATGGAGGTGGATTTCCTCGAGTGTGCAGTATGTTTGATCCTGTTTTAGGTGAGGGTGTTCCTCTGGGTTCTGTCCTCGGAGGCTGCCGCGTTTTGTCTTGGCATATGAGAAGGGCACTCTGCTTGGCTCATTTACATTGATGGCAGGACTTCTCCTTTGCTGGCATTTTCAACAGCCATTGATCCACCGCCTGCCTGATTAATCTTCTATAAAGGGATCAGGAGTCAATTAGTGTCTGAATTTCACTTTGAATTCCATGTGTGCGTCACCTTTCCCTGGAGGACCCGACCCCTTCGCACACACTGCTGAAATCTCCTTCTCCACTCCATTTACATGTTTCCCCTTCATTTCTTGCAGAGTAAAGAATACATCTGCATACCAAAGACAAAGCGACTACCTGCAGGAAAGAGACAAGTGTGTTCACTACCTAGAGACTCAATCAGCTTTCACTAGGATTCATTATCTTCCTGGCTTTAGGTTATAGTGCGCAGAGGGTTGACATAAGGAAATGGAATGGAAAGAAAGTGGCTGTGTTCTAAAACTAAATGTGCTGTCTGGCATTGTCATAATCTAGTGTGTTTTTTGTCTGTGCTTTCAAAAGCTAGAATGGTCAAATTCCAATGGTGATATGTTTAGATGGATTTATTAAAGGTGCACAGAGAAATATTTCAAACATGAATTTAACCGTCGACCAAGTTTCAAAACACTATTTTGCATCCAATCAGCATTAAGGGGCGTGTCTAGTAACTATAACAGAATAATCAAAAAGAGGCCTGGTCTTGCTAAGTTTTAAGGATGTTTAGTGCTTTCAACAAATGTTAACATCACTTAGTGCATTTTGAAGTACTGCATTAAACATTAAGGATCTTTAAAAAATGCATGACTTTTAATTGATTAGTAAAGTCTTTATTATTATTATGACTGTATATTTATTTATATTTAATTCTATTAAGAAAGGTGTCTTATTAAATGTTAGTTGGACTTATCTTAAAATACAACTAACTACCAATGACTACCAACTGACGAATACAGATAATCTGATCTTGTAATTAAAACATGATTTTATTTATTTGTACTCAGTTATATTGACTATATTACTTAAACTTGTATTTTATATTTTTATTAAAATTGAATGTATTTTTATTTATTACTGTCCTTTATAAAATAATTCACACAGTGGATTTTGTATTAAACAAAAATGTATGATCCCTCTTATTTTATTTAAAATTATTAACATTTTGCAGATTCTGAATAAATAAAATAATAATAAATCTTCTTCTTCTTCTTCTTCTTCTTCTTCTTCTTCTTCTTCTTCTTCTTCTTCTTCTTCTTCTTCTTATTATTATTATTATTATTATTATTATTATTATATGAAGAGTGTAGATGCAAAAACCTCTGAATGCCATTTTAATCAGGCTCTATGTGTATATTGTGTAATATCACTTTTATGGCAAAGAACAAGTCCTTTTCCTGTTCTCTAAAGTAAAATATCTCAACACAAACAACTGAGGCTGAGAAAAACGCTCATTTTAGATGGAAATTTCAGACGGCAGTTTTTTGCATCTGAACTCTTCACATATTTCCTAATATTCTTATATTTGAAATATTTTATAAACTGTAATATTTGCAATTGGAATGATATGGGCGCCACAGTGGCTCAGTGGTTACCATGCTGGTTTGAGTCCCAGCTAGGCCAGTTAGCTTTTCTGCTGTCTGTGTGAATGTGAGCATGTATGGGTGTTTCCCAGCACTAGGTTGCGGCTAGGAGAGCATTCGCTGTGTAAAACATATGCTGTGATTGTTGGTGTTTCATTCGTTTACATTAAAAAATGTAATTAACAATGTAAATAATGTTATTATAATTGTAATAATGTTAATCATTAGTATTGTTATTATATTCATTCATTCACTCAGTTTTCTTCGGCTTAGTCCCTTACTTATCAGGGGTCACAACAGCGGAATGAGCAACAAATAATGTAGGCATATGATTTATGCAGCGGATGCCTTTCCGGCCACATTCCAGTACTAGAAAAAAAACCATACACTCTTACAATCACACACACTCTTACACTAAGGCCAATTTAGTTCATCCAATTCCAATAATGCGCATGTCTTTGGAATGTGGGGGAATCCGGAGCACCCGGAGGAAACAACGCGAACACAGGGAGAACATGCACACAGAAATGCCAGCTGGCCCAGCCGTGACTCGAACCAGCAACCTTTTTGCTGTGAGGTGACAGTACTAACCACTAAGCCATCATCATACTGCCCTATTGTTATTATTATATAAATTATATTTACAATATTTTACTATAGCAGCACAGTGGCGCAGTGGGTAGCACAATCACCTCACAGCAAGAAGGTCGCTGGTTCGAGCCCTGGCTGGGTCAGTTGACATTTGTGTGTGGAGTTTGTATGTTCTCCCCGTGTTCCCGTGGGTTTCCCAGGTTTTCCCCACAAGTCCAAAAACATGTGGTAAATTGGGTAAGCTAAAACTGTCCGTAGTGTATGTGTGTGAATGAGTGTGTATGGAGGTTTCCCAGTAATAGGTAGCAGCTGGAAGGGCATTGGCTGTGTACAAACATATGCTGGATAAGTTGGCGGTTCATTCCGCTGTGTTGACCCCAGAATAATAAAGAGACTAAGCTGAAAAGAAATGAATGAATAAATGAATGAATGAATTAATTAATTAATTAATGTATTAATGAATGAATTTGCTATATTGTTCTATTAGTGATTGGAATGAAATGTCATGATGGTAAATATCTAAATATTGTAACTACATTATGTGTGTAAAATGTCACTTTTTGGTTTTACATTTCTATAATGGTTCAAGAGCATATCATGCTGTAGTTTGGATATCTTTAAATGTAAGTCTTTAAATGTAAAATTGTGACGTTCTTTATTTATAGTCTTTATTTTTTTCAGGTGATTCAACGCAGAGAAGATGGCTCAGTTAACTTTTTCCGTGACTGGGAAGCCTATCGTGAAGGATTTGGCAAGATAACAGGAGAGCATTGGCTAGGTTAGTTCTCTTTTTATAATTGTTGTCTGGGGGAAAAAGTAGTGATTTATATCTAATAAATGTATGAAAACCAACCACAAGACAAAATAGCTGTGTGAATGACATAGTCAAATTAAAAATAGATAGCATAATCAAGTTATATCACGTGGATTGTATCTATACTATATCTCAACTTTACTGCAATATGTATTTTAAGAACACAGGGGACATTGGGCTGAGCTAAGCATCTCTTTTGGTATACTTTATTCACTTCAGCTCTCTGATTGGTGCACTTTGTGCGGAGCATATTGGGTAATGTAGTTTTTCCTGCTGTAACACCACTATTAAACATAATTGACTTAAAGAAAAGTTGAATTAATTTGAACAGATGGGTTAAACAAAAGCACATATCATCTGTTTACAACCTCACAGCAGGGGGTAAAGGCAAGTTTATCAGTTTTATCAGAGTTTTACTTTGAAAACCCAACTGTTGCTCTCTGTATGAGTAGTTATTTTCGTTCCACTGATTTGATTGGACAAGTGGCTTTCCTGTTCTCATATTGGCTGTCTTCTCTACAGAAAACTCCTGTTAAATGGCTTGTAATATTGTGTCAATTTATTTTTGTTGGAAAAGCTGACCGTGTTGCTTCTGAAATGTAAATGACTCTGTGTTTGGTAACTTCTTGTTTATAGGCATGTTGTATAATAGTGGACCCCCAACCGTGAATCACAGTTTCACAGTTATTCCATTTGAATGGCAGTAATGACTTTAAAGCTGCTTCTGTCGTGACACACAAACACACTTGTCATGTTTGTCACTGTTATATACGAGTGTTTTTTTTTATGACAACTGTAAGGATCGGATTGGTTATTGTAACTTTGAGCTGCCAACGTGGACAAAATGCCAAGTGGTGTGTCCAAAGCTGAGCCTAGCAGATGGCAGTGGGTGGACAGGGAGCAAAGCTTTATAAAGAGACTGAATGGAGCGAGAAAACTCATCATACCGTTCACTGATCAGGCGTTGGAAATTTAGGTGCTACATTCTGTAGTGGAGCTCTATGTTTGTACTGATTGATTCAGCTCACTGGTTTTTAGAAAGGGGGAATTTGATCCCAAATGTAAAATGCTGTCATTATTTACTCGACCTTCATGTTGCTCCTAACCTGGATGTTGTTATTTACTTTCTATGGTAAATTAGGTAAATAAAAACTAATTAAATCAAATTTCTTAAATTAAATATTACCAAATAAATTAATAAATGCTTTCTGAAACACCATGAGTATTTATTTATTTATTTATTTATTTATTTATTTATTTATTTATTTATTTATTTATTTATCCATTCATTTTCCTTCTGGTTATTTATTCAATTATTTATTTATCCATCCATTTATTTTCCTTCAGGTTATTTTTTTAATTAATTAATTAATTTATTTATTTATTTACCATCCATTTATTTTTCTTCGGGTTATTTATTTATTTATTTGTCCATCCATTAATTTTCCTTTGGGTTTTTTTTTTTTTTTTTACGTATTTATCCATGCATTAATTTTCCTTGTCAACATACAAATCTGAAACAAGATGAAATTAAGTATTTGTTTGTTTATTTGTTAATAACTAATTGAATTATTTTTATTTAATTATCAGAAACAACGTCCAGGATCGGAACAACATGAATTCGAATAGAACCTCATATTGTTTCAGATCTGTATGTTGATTGATTGATAAATAAATAAATAAATAAATATAAATAAATAAAAAGACAAATAAATAAAGCAATAAATAAATAGACAAATAAATAAACAGACACACAAATTAATAAATAAATAAACAGACAAATAAATAAGTATATAAATAAATAAATAGAAATAAATAAATAAATACTCAACCTCATGTTTTTTCAGATCTCTGTTTTAATTTTTCCATAGACAATAAATTAAATTAATAAAATTAATAAAAAAATGCACTAACTTATAACATTAAAATATATTTAAATTGTATTTCTTTAGTTGAATCATGTATGTAGAAAGAAAATTTTAATTTAATTTAATTTAATTTAATTTAATTTAATTTAATTTAATTTGTTCTAAAACTATATGCTGTTATTTTGCCATTTGACAGCAACAAAGCAAAGTAATAACAAATAATCACATCTAATTTGCTCAACTTCGTCTCAATCAATCAAATAAAGTAAACTGTCCAACTACTGTAGTAGTAGCATGAGATGAAGTCTTTTTCAATTTGATTCAAACATCAAAATGAAAGCAAGTGACCATAAAATAGTATGTGCAGTCTTGAAGAACAAACCATCGATGACGAACTTTTTAAGACTATCCTTCTGCAGTTTATTCAGCCGTCCGCATATTTCTGTAACAAGTAAATAAACCATGGAAAAATGTGAGTAAATAATGACAGAATTTCAATTTTTTGCATGAACTATTCTTTCCAATCTGAAAGATGGAACGGAAGGAAAACATTGCGACTTGATTGTATTTTTTTCCTTGACAGTCGGTTGCTCCCAAGTATGTTGAACGTGAAGAAGATAAATTGCATTTCTCTTTTATTTACTGCAAGGTCGCTCCTCTTTCAAGGAACAAAAAAAAGATGGAAAGCTTTCTGTGCTTATGGGTTGCGTCTTATTTCTTCCTTTTTTTTTTGCCTTTGTCCGACAAACATTTTAGACTCAGACTTGTTGTCTATAAAGTGCGCTAGGGGTCCTGTGTCTCAATCAGGCATGATGAACTATGACAGGCCTGCCATAAAGTGTCATGTTGGAGAGATTGACAGCTTCACAGCCTGAGCAGGACAGCGGAGGCTAGCAGGGTCTTTCATGCCTGCTGTGGCTGAGAATGACTTCACCCATGGCCTGCTACTTCTCCCATTCATTTTTCTTCTCTTATGGATTTTATAAGGACAATCACAGCTTTGCAAACTTCACTTTGAAGGAGGGACTAGGGACACACGATTCTGGCTAAAATGAAAATCACGACTTTCTCACGACTTTATGAGGGTTAATATAAGTTGCCTATTGTCATTGTTATTTCTCAAACATATGGTAAAAAAACAATAATAAATGAAGGCCTATCTGTAGGTCTACTGTTGGTTAAAAAGCTAAATTTGAATAGACTTATAATGGTGGACTTAAATAGACTTTCAATTAGTCCGGGTCATTAATGCACAGTAAAGTGCCGACATCAGAATACAACTACTCATGATTCTGGTGTTAAATTATTATGTTTGAGACATATGTTTCCAATCTGTCATTGACAACAATATTAGACCATTTTTTCACTATTAAAATGAGACATTTGTCATTATCAGCCTACATATATTATGTAGACTAGAGTAGTTATACTGACACTTAAAGATTAATTCTCATTTACAACACTCTGTGTTCGCTATGAAAAAACATCAAATACTTGTTGTAATCATAACTCTTAAATGTGATATGATTATTAAAATAATGTGCGCTTTCACTTTCACTGATATTTGATATGATAGCTACACCATGCTGGTGTTTCGTAAAATTTGTAACGCTCAACCCCCAACCTGGAGGACCAGGACATACACACATACACCAATAGACATCAATTCACCTATAGCACATGTGTATGGACTGTGGGGGAAACCGGAGCACCTGAAGGAAACCCACATGAACACAAGGAGAACATGCAAACTCCACACTGAAATGCCAACTGAACCAGCCGTGGTTCGAACCAGCGACCTTCTTGCTGTGAGGTGACAGTGCTACCCACTGTGCCATCGTTATTTACAGCATATGCAGGTTCTGTTCAGTAAAGTAGACTTCATTGTGAAGACTTTTGAGACAGCCTTTATGCTTTCTCCCAAGTAAAGTTTATTTATATGCTAAATTCGAGAATAATCACCTGCTTGTGATTGACCGCAGCTGGTTCTGCATTACTAACGTAGAAATCACCAATCAGATAATTCCTAACTCACTATAATTAATCAGAGTTTCATACCTCAGTTATTCTCGTCTTGTAGTGTCCCCACTTCCACCCGTACCCCTACCTCCATTCCTCAACAGGGCATCACGGCGGCCCAGTGGTTAGCACAGCTACCTCACAGCAAGAATGTCATTGGCTCAGATTTTCACTTGGCCAATCAATGTTTCTGTGCTTACATGTTCTCTCTGTGCTCGTGTGGCATTCGCCCGGTTTCTCCAATTTCCTCCCACAGTCCGAAAACATGCAACATAGGTAAATTGACCAAACCAAATTGCCACCATTGACAAGCTCTTAATTAGCAATTCCTAATTGCCATTAGCCATATAATAAGTGGGGGAGTTCTTGAGACTTACGTGAGCTCAAACTCCCCTCTCGCGTTACAAAAGGGAGGGATCCCCGGGCTCAAGGATCTTATGAACTCAGGGCTCTCACCCAGCACAGCATGACAAACACGCTTTAAAGTCAATCGTCAGCTAAGTGTAAACTCTTGAATCTTGAAAATATAATTAGCTGAATTGTAGAGATGCTGGATTAAGATCATGTAGGGGTAAAATCGAGATCACAATCTTTTTTGTTTAATCGTGCAGCTCTAGGAAAGACGTTTATGAGAATGGGACAATTTTTTTAAATTATTTCCTATATAATTTTTTTCTTCTGGAGAAAGTCTTGTTTGTTTTATTTTGAACACAATAAATTTAGTTAAAAATAAATAAATTTCAGGTCATTATTATTAGCCCTCTTAAGCAATATTGTTTTCGATAGTCTACAGAACAAGCCATCATTATACAATAACTTGCCTAATTACCCTAACCTGCCTAGTTAACCTAATTAACCTGATTAAGCCTTTAATGGTCTCTTTAAGCTGAATACTCATATCTTGAAAAATATCTAGTAAAATATTATGTATTGTCATCATGGCAAAGATAAAACAAATCAGTTATTAAAAATGAGATATTAAAACTATTATGTGTTGAAAAAATATTTCCATTGTACAGAAATTGGGAAAAATAAGATAAAGGGTTTATAATTCAGGAGGACTAATAATTCAACTGT